CCTGACTTGTAAAATAAGAAAGAAAAATTCAGTTGTTTTTATTTGGTAAATCTGAAACCCCATCCTCAAATTAGACTTTCATACAGGTATGGTAACACACACCCAGGATCCTAACAGAAGGCAGACAATCAGGAGTTCATGGGCATCCTCAGCAACATCGTGAGTACCAGGCTAGCCTGGCATACAAGAGTCAATTAGAAAGAGAGAAGAGTAGGGAAGTGGGAGGAGGAGGAAGAGAGTAAGGAAAGGGAGGGAGGGAAGAGGAAGGAACGGAATTCCCATCCCTTTTAGGCCAGACACTCAATTTTTAAACAATTTTTTTTTTCCGAGACAGGGTTTCTCTGTGTAGCTTTGCGCCTTTCCTGGATCTTGCTCTGTAGACCACGCTGGCCTCGAACTCACAAAGATCCACCTGCCTCTGCCTCCCAAGTGCTGGGATTAAAGGCGTGAGCCACCACCACCCAGCTTCAGACACTCAGTTTTAATGGACAATGAATACAATGTATTATTGGGCCCCAATCACACAAGAGAAATGATGGGCATGCCCCTGAGCCCCACTCTGGAAAGCCCTAGCAAGCTAGATGCTCATCCCAGGACATCGTGTTCACTGAAAGCTTTTATCTTGGCTTCCAGGGTCTGCTCTCGGGGTAATCAGTTTACAGGGAGGATCATCAACTCAAATTTCCTGATCACCAGGCAGAGGGACAAACGTAGTCCCAGCAAATCTCAGAAGGCACAGAGAGTAAATGCTCATGAAGAGAAGAGCCACTTCCTCAAGAGCCGATCATACTTTTAACAAGGGCAAGCGGGCTTTCCTCTCAGGGGCTCAGGCTTTCACCTGCAAGTCCTGTTCTGTCTTCCAAATCTACTCGATTTTATTTGGGAAAGGCATTATATATGTGTATAATTACCCTATACTATGTTAAAATAATCCCTAACATGTAAAATTAGTTATCATACTTTTTAGGCCGAATTAATTCACTTCTCACTGGGAAGTCTCACAATTCCCCATTCAGTGGGAGGCAGTGGGTGGCAGTAGACTATGGTGGTCTATAACAAGATGCTTGCTAAGGAAAGTATGAACTAGACCAGCAATTCTCAACCTATAGGGTGGGACCCCTTGGGGGGTCAAATAACCCTTTCGCAGGGATTGCCTAAGACCAGCAGAAAACACAGATGTTTACATTAGGATGCCTAACAGTAGCAAAATTACAGTTATGAAGTAGCAATGAAGATCATTTTATGGTTGGGGGTCAGCACACTGTGAGGAACTGTATCAACGGGCCGCAGCATCACAGAGGTTGAGAAACACTGGTTACAGAGGATCCTGAGTTTCATCCAGTAACTCAAGTGCACTTTCAGCCAGTCTTCCACCTGGTTTTGCCTCCAACTCCGTACAAAATAAGACTCAGGCCAGGCGGTGGTGGCGCACACCTTTAATCCCAGCACTCGGGAGGCAAAGCCAGGCAGATCTCTGTGAGTTTTAGGCCAGCCTGGGCTACACAGCGAGATCCAGGACAGGCACCAAAACTACACAGAGAAACACCGTCTCGAAAAACCAAAATATATATATATATATATATACTAAGTAAAAGTCAGTCACAAAAGAGCACATACTGTGTAGTTCTATTTAT